TTGAAAATAAAATTCAACTATCCTATTTCTAATTCTTCATTCTTCACTTTGCTCCGGTGCTCCATTATTCATCTGCAAAAAGAAAAGAGAAAGTCAGAAAGCAGTTGAATTAAAAAAGACTGATAAAATTTGCTCATCATTAAGGGCCACTGATTGGGATCAGTTAACCCTCTCTGCAAATCACGGGATTTCTCCCGGTTCACAAAGAGGGAAGAATTTCATTTTTATTCATGAATGCAAAATGCATAAATTCCAAAGTTCAAACTGCATAGTTCAAGTTCAACCAAACTGAAAATCCAATTCCACTTTCTATCAAAAAGCAAAAGGTACAGTTTGCTGTCAAATGCCAAAATCTACTCAAAGATATCAAAGAAAAATCAAAGAAGTACAATTTGCTGTCACAAGTACCCAAGCTGTCATGAAAAGATTTGGCCAGGATATCAAAGAAATGCAATTTACTGTCAAAATGCAAAGTCAGATCCAAAGCTGTCAAAAAGAGATAAAGAATATGCAGAAGTAATGTGTTATGCAAGCTAATTCTAAATCATCATTTCCCATCAGGGCCCCTTCAGAAAAGTACAGTAAAAAAACATTAAAAATTCTTTTAACTGTACTATGGAGAGAAAGAGAAGAGAGATAAAGTAAGCATAGGCGGCTTTAGGCTGAGGCAGAAGACAGAAAAAGATATACAAAAGAGAACAGAGTTCAGCAAGCAAGAGGAGAGAAAAAGATACACAGCTGAAACCTGCATATACCAACATACAGAACATACAACAAACCAGAAAGAGCCTTAAACCTTTTCATGAACCAAAATCATCCAAAAACCTGATATGCCAAATCTGCTAAAGTTCAAACCTGCTGAAGCTTAAGCATCAAACAGATTAAACCAAAAACCAAGTTCAAACCTGAAGCATAACAACCATCAACCTGCCTAATCCAAAAAAGCCTCACATACTGTCATACCACATAAACATACAAATTCAAAAGGCCTAAAACCCCTACAGGCCTGTCAAACCTAACAGCCAAAACCTTGTTAAGCCCTGCCTCAAAAAGCCAGCAGAACCAATACAAAGCACAAACCATACCTATTGCCAAATCTCAAGCCTGAACATCAAAAAACCTGATCAAAAGAAGCCTGACCATTGTCAAAACACCATACTGTCAACAAACTAACAAGCATTCAAAAGTTCAAGGCAACGCAGGTGAGACATCCAAGGCCCTCAGTGTACACATCATTGGGCAAGAAACCAACATCCAGAAATATACTGATACCAAGAAATTCATCAGTGGCATAGAAGAAGAAGGAAAAAGTGAATCTTTTTGAAAGAGGGTTTTCAGTTAAAATCATCATCAAAACCCTAAGGAACAAGATAAAAGATACCAGGAAAGCTCAAAGATTCGTCACGTTCCTCACGCCGTCCCGACCTCCTGAGCGCCACTTCCCCGTCTCTCCTCCATCTCTAAGGAACGAAGGTAGCAAACTTTTCCCTCTCTTTTTCTCCTTCACCTCATAATAGTCAAAGATCAAGTTTTAGATTCAAATGGAAATAACGCATGCAATCCGTGAAAAAGAACATAAAAACTGAAACGAACCTTGAATCACAAATCCACTAAGCTCATAGAGGGAAGAGAGACTTAGGAGATGGCACGGTGGCTCTGGGCGGAGGACGGCATTTCAGCGTTCAAGACAATCGGAGAAGATAGGCAAAGACGAGCAAAACGGCGCGCTACAAACCCTAAAGCTTTGTTCCCAACTGAACGACAAAACGCCTAACCCTAAATTCGTTTCAAACAAATGGGCTTTGCCCATTCTGCACCCTCCCAAAAGCCCATAAAATTACTTCCATTTTAATTAAAACACTTTTTTTTATATATATACTTAATTCAATTAATCTGAAAACATTTTTTTTTAATACACATTAAAATACATTTGTACATAAAAATAATAAAATACTTTTTTTATCATATAACTAAAATTGAAAACTTTTTTTAATTAAAGTATACATTTGTACATAATAATAAAAATACATTTTTTCTAATATTAAAATTCTTAAAAAACACTTAATTAACACACTTTTTGTATATAATAAACCATGATACATTTTATACATAATCTAATTAAAACTTGAACATACGATTTAATTAAAACATTTTTTTTGTACATATTAAAAATATACAAACCCAAGATTCACTAAAACATTTATTTAGGTCAAAAACCCTAATACGCTTCAATTTCACATTCCGCACCTGTAAATAATTACACACAATACATATACATCTCATACTTACACTTACACGATACATTCATATTGCTCCTACACATTTATTTATCTTATATTTATATATTCGATATTTACATTTGATCGCACATTCGATTTGGTTGTAACTTATTGGATACTATAAGTCTCATCCCCATTCATACACTTGTACCCCCACTCCCGGATACTATTTTGTAATAGCGTAGATTTTACATTTCCGCAATTTACAGTTTTTCAATTATACCATGGTTAGACCTAGGGTTTGCATGTACATAAAATCAAACGCTAGATAAACCTAATACAAGACAAATACATGTAATCAATACACAATCACACTTGCACCCTCTAGGGTAATCCCACATGTTGCCTTCCAAAATGGGCCATGCTTGCACGTCGAGTATCTTTGGCAAAACAAATTCAAATGATCATAAGTCCCTCGATGACGCTTTCGAATGTTGCCTAAAACGGAATGATCATCGTCCCTTCAAAGCAAATTGCCAAAGACACTTGGCACCATTGCATTCATGGTCTATACGATGACCCGCGCCCGTCCCGAATAAACTTCCTAAACGCAAGATTGTCCATCAAATTCAATGGTGGAACAAAATTGTTAAAAAGGGTTAAAACATAACAAAAACCTTTGAGTACAATAGGGTAGACAAAACTCTTAGTTACTTGAGATCAAACTTGCAAAAACACTTGCCTTCTTTTCAAAAACCACAATCCACAACACTTTCAAACAAACTCTCAAAAACATTTGAAACATCTTTTTCGAAAAGATCCACACTTTTGTAAAACACTCAATCACGAGTCAAATACATTAGTTGCCTAAGACAAGGCATCTTTTTCCAAAACATTTTCAAAAGCACCCACACACACACCATTTTCAAGCAATCGAAAAAACAAGGCAAGTGATCTAAAAAACCAAGTAACTAAGAGCCCATGGATAACCATGGATGAAAAGGGTGCTAATACCTTCCCTTTTCATAATCTACCCCCCCGAACCCACGAAATATCTCAAAAGGTTTTTGCTGTGCTTTTTTAACCTTTCCTTTAGGATAAAATAAAAAGTCGGTGGCGACTCTTGCTCAACCGCACAAGTGCGAATACGAACGCAAAACACTAGTCAGTTCTCCCACCGTATCACACCTACTATCTAGGTTCCTTCTCATATCCCTACTATCCAGGCTTTCATCCCGAAGTAACCCTACTATCCATGTTCCTTCTCATATCTCTACTATCCAGGCTTTCATCCTAAAGTAACCCTACTATCCAGGTTCCTTCTCATAGCCCTACTATCCAGGCTTTCATTTCGAAGTAACCCTACTATCCAGGTTCCTTCTCATAGCCCTACTATCTAGGATTTCATTTCGAAGTAACCCTACTATCCAGGTTCCTTCTCATAGCCCTATTATCCAGGCTTTCATTTCGAAGTAACCCTACGACCCAGGTGTAGCGATAAAAAATGTAGCGGGGTAAATCGGAGATCGAGCTATTAATTAACTCGTCTCACAAAAGCAAGAGTCGCCACCGTGCTTTATTATTTCCAAGGGAAAAGGGAAAAGAGCGAAATAAAACCCTAAAATATTAATGTAAAATAATACTTAAAAGTAATGAAAATACAAGGCGTTTTGAAAAGAGATCTAGAGTTTGGGGGTTGGTTATACAATGGGAAGGTATTAGAACCCAATTCATCTATAGTATCCTATAGGAACCTTTTGAAATATTTGTTTATTCAAATTGTTTTTTTGATTAAAATGGTTTATTTGGCCAAAATTGGGTATTGGACGAGATTTTGAAGATACGATGACCTAACGTCGAAGTTTTGACTTAAAAGGTGTGAGTTTGAAAATTCAACATTTAAGAAAATTGTCTTAAGTTTTAACAAAATAAAAAAACAAAAGATGAATGAGGGTATCCGCACGATTAGATGAGATATGTTTGATGACATGAAGTCAACAAAGTTAAAACAATTCCCTTGGATTTGAGACGGATGAAAGATATAAAGATTAACGATTGATGACAAAATTAATTAAAATGACAATTAAACACTTAAATAATGGAAATTAAATTATACTAGCATGCATTTTAAACGATTAAATAAATAACCAAAAGTACATAAAGATTAAATTACAATAATCATGGATTTTTAATAATTAAAACAAATAACAAGAATTAAATCATGAAACATGTATTTTTTGAATAATTAAATAAACAACGACAAAAATTAAATAAAAAATTAATAGCATGTTGACAAAATTAAATAAAAGATAAATTTATAATAACATGTTTATTTTTATTTTTTGTAATTAAATAATAATTATATAATAAAGTAAACTAATATATAATCAAATTGAAAGGAAAAAGCTTAAAAGAACTGAAAAATACCCCAGCAAGAGTTGAACTCGGGTCTTTAAGGTTGCTGTAAACAATGCCTGGCCATTTAAACTGTTTCGCTTATTCGTTAATATCATGATTTTATTAAAACATAAAGGAAAGTGGTAATTGAATTGGGCCAAAAGGCCCAAAGGCTGACCCGGTTTAGATGAAAGGGAACAAGGAAAAGTGAAAACCCTAAGGCATGTTGGGGCGCGGCGCGGCTAGCATTATTGAGAAAAGGAAACAATTAATTATTACTGTAAAATTATTCCTAAGTTCATCACCAAAGCAAATCAAAACCCTTTCTCTCTAACCTCTCATAAATCTTCATCCTTCTATCCTTGTAAACAGAATCTATGGTGGATGAGAGAAGATGAAAAATTATCGCGGTTGTTGGATGTTCCTCGGCGTATTTTGGAGGATCACGTATTGGAGATTGTTGGTGGTGAGATGGAGGGTCACGCGGCTGGAGATTTCCAGAAGTAAGGAAAGGTTAGGTTTTGCGCAGAATGGTTGGCTGTGTGCAGAGAGATGATGATGAGGGACAAAGAGCTGACAGTGAAGCGGGTTGTTTGGAGACGAAATGGTAGAGACTGTTGCAGTTGTTGTCGAACTGGTGAGGTGAGACGGAGCTCTGTGTTGTTCTGACGGAAGTAACGCTAACGGAAGGAGATCTGGTGGTTTAAACGCGGAGGGCGTACTGTCGGTACAGAGATGTCGCTTGTTCAGTGATGGCAGCCAGAGGTGAAGCAGATCAGAGGATTATGTTACAGTTCCGGTGGAGATGGGCGGTGAGAGGTTTAAGGTATTTATGGGTTTGACAGGTTCTAGTGGTTTTTAACAGATCCTAAGGTTTGTACAGGTTAAGGTTAACTGATTTTATGGTTTTAACAAATCCTAAGGTTTGTGCAAGTTAAGTGTTGATTAACAGATCCTAAGGCTTGTACAGGTTAAGGTTAACTGATTTTATGGTTTTAACAGATCCTAAGGTTTGTACAGGTTAAGTGTTGATTAACAGATCCTAAGGTTTTGTAGGGTTCTAATGTTGATTAATAGGTTCTTATGTTCTTAACAGCAGGTTCTAAGATTTTGCAGGTTGAGGTTTTTTTACAGGTTAAGGTTCTAAGTTTTTTACATCAAATTCTCAGAGTTAGTAGATTGTATTTTTTGTAACAGTTTAAGATTTATAACAGGTTTAAGATTTTTAACAGGAGGTTCCAAGTTTTGGTAACAACAGGTTTTTAGGATTTGTAACAGGTTCTAGTCTGGTTTGAAACAGATCTTATGCTGGTTTTTAACAGATTCTATGTTTGTTTTTAACAGATTCTATGCTGGTACAGGTGCTAAGTTTCGATAGCTTCTATGGTTAACAGGTTTTTATGGTTTTTGACAGATTTTAAGAAAGGCGTGGCAAAAACAAATTTCCAAAAGTCTAGCATTGGTTTTCTTCTGTTTACATTTCTATTAAGAATGAATTGCAGGTTGTTAGATACACGAAGAGGAAGAGATAGAAGTAGGGATTAAGGTTAGCAATTGTAAATGCAGAGACAACGGCGACGATTTTATGGCCGGAATTTGTATACTCCAAAAAAGAAATTTGAAGGTGTGTGTTTTTTATCTCTGGATTTGTACATTTTTCTATGTTATTATTATTTCTAAACATGCTTAAATGCCAACAAAATGCAGCCACTCGAATAAAATACAACAAAGAAAAGAATGATAAGGCAAACATTGCATGGCAAAGAAAAATGGTGCAGAAAGTGATTCAAACATGAATATATGCAGCAGTATATAGGGAGGAGGAAGAAAATAATACCTATCGGAGCCTCTCCGATGGGGCTTCTAAAACCGTAAGTTTTTTCCACTTTTCCTGTTTTTCTTCTTGCTGAATTTTTAGAACAAAACTAATCTTTTTCTGTTTTCACCCTCTTGTTGGATAAAACTCTCTTTTATGTTTTTCTCACTCTTGCTGAATTTTTTTGGATTCCCTTCTTCTCTCTCCCTTTTGTGTTGATGAAAGCCTCTATTTATCGTGAAATGTGTGGGGTTTTAGGGGGGGGAACGGTAGAAGTTTGAACAAATTCAGGCCCTGTTTTGATGTTTTGTGGGATAGCTTTTTGAAGTATCCATTTTAGTGCAATATTTGGAGCTTTGCAAACTATTTTTGTAACAGCAAAATGTGCAGATTTTTGTCTTATGGGCTGCATTATGGGTTGTTTTGCAGGGCAGATTTAGACAGCAGCTTGGCATGGTCTTTGTTGACACAAGGTTGAAGAAAATGGACAGCACTACACTAAAAAAAATGGACTGTTATGGATTAATATAGTGCTGGAAAAATGGGAACCATTTGGACTGTTTTGTAGCAAGAATAATAGTTGATTTTCATGTACAAAACTTGTATTTTATTTTGTAACTTTGTAACAATAAGTCCAAATAAATTGTAACATGAATAAACATGTATCCTCCAATTTATTCTCAATTCCTTTTGTAATTATAAATAACCTTGAATCTTCATATGATCATGAATCTTGATATGTCTTGATAAAAATTCAAGGCCTTCCATTTGAATTGGGAAACAGTTGAACAATACTTGAATAAATTATTGAATGATGAATAAATGATAATGCAAGTCTTAGACTTTAATCTTGCATTTTTGTAATAGAGATCCAAATAAATCACATGAATTAATTTTGTAATCAAATGGAGTTCCTCATGTAATTAGTCTTGTGATGACCGATTAATTGGATTGAATTCCTTTTCCCACTAACTTCTTGAATAAATGCTTCATGTAAGTCTACCAAAATAATCACAAAAATAATCTTGAATAAATATTTCATGCGATAAATGATTATTCTTGGATGAGATCTCTTGATAGCTCCTCTTTAATTATCACTTGAATTCAAATAAAGAAAATTCCAAATATTCCGAATAAATTCTTCTAGAACGGTTTTGAATTTAATCATCCCATTTTGACGAAATTCACCCCACATCATGAGAAAATTTGCAGATGACTTTTGGTCAAAGAAATCGAAAATGACGGTGTAGCCTGGTTTTCTTGTATTTTAGAATAATGTGAAACACACACGAACCAAAGACAGTAGAACTTTGACCGTTCTTTCTGAAAAAATATTCGGAGAAACTGGAGACCATCGCATTTCTGCTTCGAGACTATAAACCCTAATCGATGTACGACGTTCGATGCTCTTCTTTCAGACCTATTTCCTGCACATGAAAATAAAACGACAAAACATACACTTCGTGCTTGATTAGTGGTTAGTCATTCGTAAGATAAAATGCTCACAACACTCGATAATCTCTACACAGTCAAAGCTCGAAGGCGAAATGTTTGAAACCTACCATATTTTGTGCCCTTGAAAATAATACAAATGAAACAGGGATCTTAGGTCAAAAATTGGGGTATGACAGCTGCCCCTATTTAAGTTTCTTCTATCCGGAGATATGAAGATTAAAATCTTCGTCTCGACGAGATTGAAGATACTTAAATACATAATACGTAATTTTTGCCCTAAAATATTGCCATTATGTTTATGATATGAATGTAGTATTTAACTTTATGGAGAATGATACTGTATGAGACAAAATAATGTTGGAGAAACCAATCACAAATAATCCACAAGAACAGAGATTATACACTACTGGGGAAATGAGCCATCGACTTCGAATGATAGACTCTTAACAGGGAATAAAATTTGAGAGAAGACAACTTCTGACCCTAACAAAGAAGACGCCTTGCATAGGTCACAAAAAATGATTATTGACCCAAGATGATGGTGAGTTCACAACTCAAGGTCAAAGATAGACAAAAGATGTGTCAACTTTTGCTGATAGTGAGCTACTGACTTTTACTGAGGGTAGAGATTCACAACAAACTTCTCTATGGGATTTTTCCGGAGAGATACCATTTGATGCTGAAGTAACATACGGTTGTGGATGCACAAGCTGCTCAAATAAAGAAGCCACCACTTGTTGTCTTCAAAGGATGTCTATAACATACAAGTTGCTCAAATAAAGAAGCCGCCACTTGTTGTCTTCCAAGAATGTCTATAACATACAAGTTGCTCAAATAAAGAAGCCGCCACTTCCTGTCTTCCAAGAATGTCTATAACATACAAGCTGCTCAAATAAAGAAGCTTCCACTTGCTGTCTTCCAAGAATGTCTATAACATACAAGTTGCTCAAATAAAGAAGCCGCCACTTGATGTCTTCCAAGAAAACTATAACGCCCAAGTTGCTCAAATAAAGAGGCCGCCACTTGTTGTTGTCCAAATATGTTTATAACGCACAAGTTGCTCATGAAGAGACCGCCGCTTGTCGTTTTCCAAAGATGTCAATAACGTACAAGTTGTTCATGAAGAGACCGCCGCTTGTCGTTTTCCAAAGATGTCAATAACGCACAAGTTGCTCAAGAAGAGACTGCCGGTTGTCATTTTCCGAAGATGTCAATAACGCACAAGTTGCTCATGAAGAGACCACCGCTTGTCGTTTTCCAAAGATGTCAATAACGTACAAGTTGCTCATGAAGAGACAGCCGCTTGTCATTTTCCAAAGATGTCAATAACGCACAAGTTGCTCATGAAGAGACTGTCGCTTGTCGTTTTCCAAAGATGTCAATAACACACAAGTTTCTCATGAAGATACTGTCGCTTGTCATTTTCCAAAGATGTCAATAACGTACAAGTTGCTCATGAAGAGACTGCCGCTTATCGTTTTCCAAAGATGTTTTAGAAGAAAGTTGTGATAACACTGTCAGAGAATAAATTCTTCTTCAAAGGGAACCATTAATAGATCCTTCCTGAGGAGATCAGATACTCAAATGCGCAAAATAAATGCACCATTCATCTAGGTTGCCTAGCCCGGAGAAAACCACGAGATAGCCGATGCAAGAGACAAAAACTCCATCCTGGAATAAACCAGAGAGAAAGATAGTCAAACAAGACTCCACCCAATGAGAAAATAACCCAATTGGGGATTCATCCTATCCAGAGATGGACAAGGAAGGCTAAATCCAAAATTCATCCACGAGGATTAGCTCAGCTGGGGAATTAGAAAGAAAGCACATTTTTTGCCTAAGTTAACATTCTACTTGGAAAGAAACATGTACGATGTTTGAATAAACATAAACAAAGTATACGATCCAAAATCACCGACAAATGTGAATGTGTATGCATGATGTAAATGAGTAAATGAATATTATGCTGACAAAACAGATAGAGGAAATAACTTGAAGATGATAAGATATCACGAAATAATTAGATACTCGGCCAATCTTAAAGAGACGAAAAATAACTGGAACTGGAACAAAGGCAATGTCAGAGTGTATCACGCTACAAGGCTGAAGTCTTCCCGGGAGAAAAGTATTCAAATCCAATCTTCTAACACCAATAGACCACTGACATGATACAAAACGTACCACACTTCAGAAATTTTCTCAAATAGAGATAACCGAAACAAAGCTTAAACGGAACTGTCGGGGAGTCACCAAGCTTAGTGCTATACTAGAAACGCAAGTTTACACAACCAACACCTCATGACGATTTTTAAAAGAAAACATGTTCATCATACAAGGATGAATTACTGTATTGCTTTGCATTTCATGGCATAACCATCTTCGGAGCAACTGTTAATATTCCTTCCAATATTCACGACACATTTCAAAATAGGAATGCGTTAATTAACTTTGTTTCAAATATTGCCATAAAAGCTAAAATTTTGCCCACAAAAGATAAATGCTCAAATTTCATTAATAAGATGGTAGTTCGTTAACAATGCGACTCCAATGGTTTACAAAAATTTGGGAAATAGTACATGAAAGAAAAAGGTTACACAAAAACAATGATCATTATTCTCCCTAACAACTTCGAATTCCAAGATGTGCTCAAATTCCATGACTGGTCTGACCAAAAGCTTGCCTAAGACGCCCCTTCGGTTTTTCAACTTAGCGAACTGTCAACTCAAACCTAGGCGAAATACTTCTTGACTGCATCGGCGTTCACGGAACGCGGGAGTTCTTCACCATCCATATTTGTGAGAATCATGGAACCTCCAAAGAAAACCTTCTTAACGACATACGGTCCTTCATAATTCATAACCCATTTGCCCCTAGAATCATGTTAGAAAGATAATATCTTCTTGAGCACGAGGTCACCTTCTCTGAATTCGCATGGTCAAACCTTCTTATCAAAAGCCTTCTTCATTCTTTGCTGATATAGTTGACCGTGACACAATGCTGTCAAACTTTTTTCTTCAATTAAATTCAACTGGTCATATCTACTTTGACACCATTCAGCCTCAGAAAGTTTAGCTTCCATCAAAACTCTCATAGACGGGATCTCAACC